AATCCCAGGCGCTTCTATGCTGCTTTGAGTCCTCGTCATAGACTTATAGATGGGACTGGCAATTGCTATAGTTTCTGCATAAGAAACAGTGTTCGCGGGAGGTTAGACAGAGAGAGAGACGTACTTTTTTGATACTTCTTTCTCTTAATAATGTCCGGAAATATGTATTGCGCATGAGTTCGAAGTATATGGCGGATTAATATAATATGATCGAAAACAATAAATGTTGATGAAGAGTAAAGAATGAAAGACTCCATAGTCAAACATATAAAATGCAATAAAATAAAAAAATTTATATATAAGAAAAGTGAAAAAACATCAGATAAACTTTTAGATTAATTTGTGAAGAGTTTTAAAATAAACCATATGTAATTCTATATCGAAGTTTTTATGGTAATTCTGTAAAATAATAAAAAAAGAGCAAAAAGAATTACAATATTTAATGAATCATGCATGGCATACTTGCTGCATACTTAAATTTTAGTTTTATATATAGTTTCTAATGTTGTTTTATTTTATATACATGATACACAATACATTCGTTTTTCAAATAATGAAATTATAGAAGAATAATTTTCTTTTTAAAAATGCGAGTTTTTGGAAAAATATAATAGTTATAATTATTTTGAACAATCAATGTTTTGAGACTAAATAATAAATGGTTTTCTATAAATAGGCGGTTCATGTTATTTATACTTATTGAACTTAAGCTTCTTGTTCTTTTTTTTCTATTGCTCACAAATATATTTATTCTGCTTTAAATATTGAAAATTCTAAGCAACGCAAACCTAATGTAATAAAATCTGTTAAAAAAGTGAGTAATAGAATATAAATTTTTTTTTATTTCAAATGAAACAATTAAATAACTTTTTTCTAAGAATTATTATATATTAAGAATGATAATTGAATTGAATTTATAATTTAAAACTCTCAAAATTTATAAAATTTATTTATTTATTTGTAAAATAAAAAAATTACACAAAGGCTTCTACAATTATTAAAGTATGCTTAATATATGTTACTTTACAATAAGTCCTGCTTCATTATTACTTACGAATAAAAAGAAACACTATTTTTTGCAGAATAACTCACTCTGCAAATAACACACTTTCGAACCATTATTTCTTTTTAGAAATATAATATGATATTCTTATCGATATTTCGCAAATACGATACTCTGAAAATAACGTACAAATAACCTCAAACTTTCCTTTAACTTGCATAAATACACCAATAAAAATGCATTAATATATAATATATGTCAAGCATGCGCAAAACGTATGCGCAATGCGTATTTCCGAACACTTTTAGAAAAAGAGACATTTCTCTCTCCAACCTCCCGCGGACATAATCATATTTGTATTACCAATCCATACATATAGGGTTTATGGTCTTCGTATATTAAGCAAGACAGCAGTTTGCATACCCTGGACGGCATCCTCAGGCTGGTTCCCGCAGTAACTTGTGTAAGCGTAAATTGCGTCAACCAATCAAATCGTTTAATAAGAGTCTAGATGGATTTGTGTAGAGTAGCTGAGACAATTGGTTGGATGATGCAGTTTACACTTACGCAAGTTACGCTGCATGGAGAATCAGCCTCAAGCTTCTCTCTGCTGTTACATTCGTAATTTGTCGTACAAATTTTTTAAGCGTGTTGATTGGCTGCAGGATAGAAAGTTTCTAAAAACTGGAGAATTCCTCTATCCTGCAGCCAATCAATGCGCTTAAAAAATTAGTTGTATGACGAATGTAATATTACCCTAACTCGCTGCGATGGTGCGAATATGTAAACAAATGATTGTTTTGCGATCATTGGTCTAGTTTCCATCGATGTTTTAATTCACTCCTACGACGTAGAACCAGATTTGAGTCGATGCGACAATTGCGCTCATTTCAATTCCGCTTCGATCCACAAATCTTTATTTCCGATGGAAACAGCATATTAAATTTGATCCGTAGGCTGATGATAGAGAATGTAGAGAGATGTAAGCGCTTACGTTTATCATAAACGTAGACGTAGGTTAAGACAGAGAAAACGTAAGAGATTACACGTATCCGTGAAAAATTATTAGATACATATACATTTTTCTCTGCCTTAACCTACGTCTACATTTACGATAAACGTAAGCGCTTACGTCTATTCTCTGCCATCAGCCATATCAAAGTAGAATCGAATTGAAGACTTCGGTGGAAACTAGACTACTGAGCCCGGATGCACTACACCACAGAGTACTCATTCTGTGCATAATGCAACACTAGCAGTTTTCGACTGCCATTGATATTCTTTTTAAAATCGAGCCATGATTGGTTGAAACCAATAGCTTATCTTCATATGTAATAATTTGGACGAATTCAGCTACTGCAGTAGACACGATACTGTTTGATTGATCGTTTTACAAAATTTAAATGTATTTACAAATAAAATTTAAAATACAAAATACTCTAAAAAAATATTTAAATACAAGATATAAAATGTATTTAAATACGTATTTCAAATACATGTATTTTAAATACTGCCCACCTTTGGCACTAGTATAACAAGTGGACAATATATGTATATATGCTATATGTATACATAAAGTTATACATTATTATATATATATATATATATATATATATATATATATTATTATATATATATATATATATATATATATATATAAAGGCACTCATATGTATACAATATGCATTAAACTCGTAAAAATTCAAAAATAGAAAATACATAACTCATGAAAATCAATAACCAAATAAGTACAAACACGCATATAACAGGTGGCCATAAACGAAGATGAGTGATGAAATATGTTGTTAAAGACTCGCCAAAATCTAGATTCAGATTTAAAAGTTGTTACATTTTCCACACGAATGCTGAAAATGATACAGGAGCTACTATAGAACGCTTCGAAATATATATCTCTGAGATATAACAGATGGAAGCAAACCATGTATCACGAATTTGGTAAGCTACATTTTCAAGTAACAGATAAACAAAGAGCAGGAATCCTATTTTTGAAATATACGCACACAAAAATCCTATAGTATATGTAACACATATTATAAGATTTTCATATGCGATATGTTTCAAGAATAGGGCCTATAATTGACAGAGATTACTGCTTTCGGCCGGATCTTACTGATTGTAAAAAGGTAGTGGTCAGGACATTGATAATTCCATCTACAGCTTCTCCGAATGACGATGCGACGTATCGAAACGTTAATTCAATGTAACTCACGTTCTCGTCTTCATCGTTGAAGAAATAATCATACATCACTGGCAAAAATATGATCGCAACGTATATTGCGATACACAGCAACGCTAAAGGAACGAAAGGAAAATTAGTAAAAGCGAAATGAAAATGAGAAGTTATTCAAGTGAATTGATCGAACAAAATATAGCTATATTTTATTTTGCATCTTTTTCGGCTAATAGTTACGAGTGTCAAATCGCGTTCGCGATCCCCAAGATATTTAATTTGGAAATGGTAGGTACGAAAAAAATGTTTGCCACACGTACCCATGATTTCGAGTCTGAACAACCGTTTGTTTGTTCGGTTCATTTTCTTTCGATTAATTCTTTTCACAATTGCGGAAGATAATCTAGAAGTTTCATAAATGTTTTCGCATGCATTGGAATAGCACATTACGTTCACAGCCGGATATGAAAATGACTTTTTATCTTGGACAACTGCTGAATTTCGAAGTGCCGTATTGATCATGCAAGAGAGTATGGAGCATTGTTGTAACGTTTGAGATTCAAGTAAATGATCATCTTGTGGCTCGTTTGAGCATTTATCTCTTTCTTCCGCATTATCTGGCTTGGCCGATGCGATCCTGTGTTTGAGTTTCCAATAATACTCCCAATAACTTTTGTTTAACAACTCTCGAGTTTCCAGAGGTACGGACAATGGTTTCTTAACCAAGTTTTTCGCCCGTAAGTTCGTCAACGAACGGGAGTTTATTCGACTTTGCTTCGATTTTGCATTTGATTCTAATATAGAATTCGTGCTAATCATTCTGTTTCTTTGATCTAACCGATTCGATGACTGATTTATTTTGGAGCGGCCACGGATCTTTTCATAACGTTTACCATTAATGCCATGAGGACCAGGTAATATTAAAGTACAATCTGAATCTGTAATTGCCAAACGAGATTTCTTCCGAAAGAATGACTTTGCTTTTCTCGACAGATTCATCGATGCTGCTTTATGTTTCACGTTAACACGCAGCTGCCCGCGTTTTTCCTTCATATTTATTCGTTTTTCCTCTTCGTTACTTTTTCTAGATTCCTTATCTCGAATTTTATTTCTTTCGTTGCATTTGTTCGCGGTACAAGAATTTGTATCGCACCTTTGGTCGATGAGACTCACGAACTTTTCGCCATTTCTTACATTACTTGCTTGATGCAATTCATCTATCGTATCATTGTCTCCATTACGATCTGTTCTGGATGTAGTCTCGTTTCTAATATCTTGATTCGATGATTCGACATTCGAATCAGTATTTTCCTTCGCGAGTATTCGACCGAAAGGGCGTCCGTCGCAATTCATGGAAATACTTTTCTTTTCCGAGATATGACAGATATCGTCGCTGTTCTTTGCATCACATTGCTCGACATCTAAAACATACAAATAAAATTTGAATGATTCGCGAATGATAAATGAGCGAATCAATGAACAATACAAGAGAGTAATTCGTTACTATCAAATAGATATCTTTGATTCCCAGACTTCTTGGAGCTGTGCATCAAATTGGTTAATGTCGATCTTGTACAGATATTCCCGACAGCTTCTCGATCTTTTACATTGTTATTTTGATATGCGGACAGTATCTTAATATCCTTTCCTATTTGCTTAAGATTATCTGATAATTGCAAAGGTACATTGTGATAGGCAATTACAGGAATTTGAACGCTGTAACACTGCAGTGACTGCTTAGGCGAAGAAGAATCGGCTTCTATATTAAGAGTGCTGATAGGCAGTGCATGTATCTTCTTCTCGTCAACCATTAAAAATAATGGCTCATTAACCTCCTTGGAACAATTGTCCATTTCCTTTGCTGATTTTGTAACATTTTCTAATAAATTATCTACATCGTGATACGGTAATACGTAATCATTCATATATTCACTCGTTTCCCGTGATTTATCTTCAAGTTTTTTACTTTCTTGTGGAATACATGTATCTAATTCTAATGTTTGTTTGTCATTTTTTCTGTTGTAGGATTCATCTGGTTTCTCAGCCTTTTGTCGTGATATTTGTCTAGATTTCATCATTTCATTTTAAATTTTATTTTATTACAGCATACGCGAAAATAAAATATGAGTAAAGATACATTAAGTAAACTGGAGCAATTATTTCAAGACATTCTGTATTAAGGACGATACACATTACAGATAATTTCACAAAGTCACATGAGATACAACAAAGAGCATAAATTTGATATGAAAAATAATGACGAAATATTGATTAATACCTTCTAAAACGTGGATCAAAACAACCAGGCAATCTTTTCGGTATATGTGTGATTGCTTCATATTCTTGACTCGATCTTGATTTGAGGTGTCTGAAATAAAGCAAGAAAATAAGAGAAGAAAAGGAAATGTGCAACGACATTCTTAAACTTAATCTCAAAACAGATTTATGCATAATGGTCAAAACGCTTGAACTACTTACAGACGTGTCACAGTTTGCATTGTACTGCATCCTTTTCTAGGAGTTCCTGTCAAAGTGACCACACACGGAGGTTCAATAATATCGTCAGTATTATTGTTTGAGCGACGTAGAGGTATTTTAGGCCAAGATGGATCAGAAGGAATCCTAAGAATTAGGGATATCATGGTAAGATTGAATGAGATTTTGTTTGCTGTCTTGGTCAATGATGTAATGGTATATACAATATACCGTAATGTGCTGATATTACACTTTTCCGAGATCGCTGATAAATTTTGCCTATTTACTAAAAAAATGTATGTTAGAGTTGTATATGCTACTATTCTCACACAATTTTAATATCTTCTATATTTACTTTTTACATGCAACTCGAGTGTATTTGTCTCGTTATCGCGCGCCATATCACGAAATAGATAATAGATAATTACGAGAAGATATTAGATTTCCTTTTAACACTGTATAAGCTAATGCTATTTTATTAAATTGGAACTTGGTGGATTAGCCTAAAAAAAAAAAGTTATATGCGACACGATTGTATTAATTACATGTTTTTCCAACATCGAGCAATATCGAAAGTTTTCTTTACGCGTGTGACAGAATAATAATAAATT